TCCTCCTCTTTTCCCCACAACAACAACCCTGTGAGGCGGGTCGGGCTGAGAGAGAGGGACCGGCCCAAAGTCACCCAGCCGGCTTCCATACCTAAGGCAGGACTAGAACTCACCGTCTCCTGCTTTCTAGCCTGGTGCCTTCACCACTAGACCAAACTGGATTACTTTTGTACTCATTATTGTGTTTTATTAGTTATCTGTATAGCGCTTGGAGTTTGTTGGCAGATAAATCTCAGAAATGCCAGCTGGCTGTTTTCCTCTCCAAGAATCCCCAATCCACAGGTTTTCCTCTCGTTTTTCTTCCCCACCATTAAGAATAAGCTTCAGCATTCGAGGGATGGGCGCTATGTGCCCAAGAGGCAGCTGCTTCTATTTTTTAATTTAGGCTTTATTTCTTTTTCTGTGAGGTTGTAGTTGGACTACGGATCCTTGATATAAGATGCCCAGAGTCGGCTAGGGAGGCTGGGTGAAACTGTGGAAAATAAACCTTTTTGCACCAGCCCTGAAGTGTTTATATTCCGAAATAGTTTTTGCACGCGACACATTTTCCAAGGCTCTTTTGTGGACATAGTCTCATTAAGTAGGAAATTCAAAATTGGATCTTTGCAGCCTGGAACTTAATTCCAGGAAGAGAATGATAATGAATGCCAATTTGGCTTCTGGCAACTGCTTTCCAGATGTCCAGAAAATTTTGTTCAGCTTGGCTGGTTTTACAGTTTGGGTTTTTTTATGTAGGGAAAACCAGGGCCCTCTCTGGATGGTGATCTCACCTCCCGCTCACACAGCCTATCTAGGAAGTTGCTATATCTGCAAAGGCGAGGCCTCGCTGCCGCCCTCAGATTTCGGTCCAAAATGCTGCTCGGAAGTAAACCATACCCATAAAAACTCTCCAAGGAATAAGTTTTTCCAAAAAAACACACACACACACACACACAATCCCACAATGAACAAGACAACACAAACAGATGTCTTTTGAAAACAGAACACATGGTGGAAAAGCAGCATGAGTTTTGATCGGAAATTGGAGCGCGAAATATGTTTAGGGCTAATGGGACCGCTGACAAATATCCTGAAAATCCATTTCTTATATTTGAGAAATGAGCTGAAAATATCACCAGAGAACCTGACGTTGCTCTGGATTGGTCTGCTTGTGTAGGCATCTTTTCTCATTAGTCTCTTTCAGGGTATCATATTCCAGGTAGTTCTTACTTTTTAAAACTGTATATTATCTTTATTATTATAGCTGGTCACACGGTCAGCCAGATGTTCAGACTGGATCTGGCCTTTTTATCCCCCCATCGAGTCCTTCCCAAGCACTTGGGAAAGGCAGATGTTGTTGTTCGAGGGTGTTAAAGATATCGTCGCAGGATGGAAGCTGTTCCGAGTAAAGGTGCCTTTTGCAATGGGCTGGTGGTGATTTTTGTCAGAGCTGATGGTCTTCAAGGGGTGCTCCAGATGTTGTCGTTGTTATTTAAATGCAGTTAAAATGAAAACCTCGCCTTTCTTGGAGGAGCAAAGGTGGTAAAGGGCAGGTGCCCACCAGGTGTGGTGGAAAATGTCAAGATGGTGACTGGGATGGTGTGGTCTGTGCGCAGATGCGATGCACCTAAACACCAGACAGAGTTTCAACTACACTGTCACAGCCACCATCTTGGTGCTTGGGACCCTACCCTGTGGACGCCCCTTAGGGTTTCTCCTGGGTTAATCACCACCACTCACAAAGCAGACGGGCTCCCAATTGCTCCAGAGTGGCTCCAGATCATCCAGGGAGATTTGAGGTTAAAGCTGGGAGTTGAAACGGGATTTTCCAAAATCTTCCATCTGGATTGGAATGGGAGCAACCTTCACTCAACAGATGTCTTCCGGATCCAGCGGACAACTCTTGTAATCCCCAGCTGGCATGACCAACTAAGAGGCAAATCAGTGTTTTCTGATCTGTTTTCAATCATTCCATTCCTGGATAGGACCGAGAGATGTTGGATTGGAGACCGAAATCCTAGAGCAGCAAAGGATCCTCGGAGTAAGACGTCGCCATCGCCATCGCCAAATGCACGCCCTTCTCCCCAACCCTCTGTGCCCTTGAACGTTCCCCCACATACGGAAGCCCAAAAAACCCAAGGCGCAGATTATTGCAAAATAGGGGAGCCTGATCTTCATCTCCCAAAATCCCTCTCCCGTGCGCTGCGACTCAGAGGTGGTGCCAAAGTCCTGGGCCAGATTGCACAATGCATTGACGCAACGTCAGTCGATTCCATGCTCCTTCCCCCTGAGCCAAAGGCCAGCTGCAGGGTTCAGAAAGCAAGCAGGGCCACAGCCTTTGGAGTCTGCTTAAGCAATCAGAAATAAGGAGGACTCAAAGATGGAACAGCCGCATCATTTGGAGCGGTGTTTCTCAACCTTGGCCACTTGAAGACGGGTGGACTTCAACTCCCAGAATTCCCCAGCCAGCCATGCT